CAGCTGACAAATCTGCAGGAAATGTACAATGCTATGATGTCAGTATGGAGAAAGATCTCTTATTAATGTTTCCAGCAACTAGTTGGAAAAAAGTAACACAAAAAATTCAGGTAGTTGTAAAAGTAAATGGGGTCCAACCCAGTATTTCCAAGCCTTGTCAAATGTTGGTAAGTCCCAAGACAAAGTGAAAAAATAGGGTGCACTTCAAAATTAATAAAACCGGATGTTTTTTATTTTATTACTGTTCTATGTATATAACAAAAATGCCAGATTAAGTCTGTGGAAAATTACAGTACGGATATTTCTCTTACTTCAAAAAAATTGTGGTAAAAGTTTTGTGACCCTGAATTCAACTGGAAGAAACTCATGTCTCATAGATTTAGAGGCTTTGTGCTGATTCACTGACTTTGAGTCGAAGTGGTGTAGCAAGTCATGCGGGTGGCAGTAGCGGTGTCTGCACACCACCACCAGGGCAACGAAGGATGCCAGAAATATGGTGGCCAGTACCCCGATTGCCACAATCACCACTGTCTCCATGGCGACTCTGGCTCCCACAGCTCCTGTAGATGGCAACTCGTCGAGGGGGAAAAGTGCCAAAGCTCAATTACAGATGGGCGCTCATCTGTTGTGGAAAGAATAATTGGTAGGTTTAGTTTGATTGAATGAAAACACAGAGGAGAGACATTATCACAACACTTCTGGATATTTCTCTCACAAATTTATGTTGCAGTACAATTTAGGCATGCCAGAGAGGAGAATACAATAAATGTTTTGTCTCTTTCTAAACTAGGTACACCTATAATACACACATAAAAGAGAACCTTATCTAAGCATACTAAGTGCACTTGCCCCTTTGTTTTGCACTTCAAACAGTATTTGTAATGGGAACAGACTGTTCAATTTACATAGTCTTATTCCAAGACTGGGTAAACATCTTCAGTAGCAAATCACAAAGTCAACAGCTTAAAAGTTCCTACGTGGAAAAAGCCTGTTAAGACTCATTTTGATTAATAGTGTAACTAATATACATGCAGTCATGTCGCTAAGCTCACAGTCTAAACAAAAGAGAAAATCTCCTGACCTCTACTTACCGACGTATTTTTGGATCATCCAGTTTAATATAGATGGCATTTAGCCTATCAGATTGTAAAGTATACACCCTCTGCCCAGTCTAGTCACTCATTAACTTCCCCTGCCATACCTGGTAACTATTATGTGTGTAAACTCTCTGTAGCGCAGCTGTCACTGGATAATAATGCAGGCCTCTAGGTGTGGCACAACTGATTTGTTATTTGTGAGGTCGCTTAAAAAGCAATGATTTGGTTTTGTAAATGGTTACAAGCACAGCTTATTAGGCAGGGCAGCTGAACTTTCAACATTACAACATTGCAAACCTGCATATTTTCCTGGATGATTGTGAGTGTGTGCCATGGAATGCTGTAATTCTCTAATCAGATTAATTTGTGTTACACTCACCGTATCATACAGGGCTTTCTCCTGCCTGAGAGCTTTTCTGACTCTTTGTCTTTTCGCAGGCCAGTGGTTTCTGAAAAATCAGTAAAGCCTTCTGCTAAAAGAGAAACAGAGGTAAACAGATTGATTTGAGGTATTTTGGGGCATGGAAAATCTCTACAGAGTCGCTCCCACATTCCTTAGTGCAGTCTATGTTAATAGGAGCAGCAGCACAGCTTTTCATTATACTTCAGTGAAAATTTCTGACAGCTACAGTAACTAATTAGATCTCAAAAGTCAGGCAAAAACCGTAAATATGCTTAAAAGCAAAAACTGTACTCAAAGTAGCCCTCTATAAAAAGTCAATAAAAAAAATACCATGCCATTTTTTCCCCCTCTTAAGTAAAATTGTAAGTACAGAGCCAGTTTAGAGTGTGAGTAAAGAGCTTCCACGGGTAATACAGCATTTCGGTAATGAGGAATAATCATGTCTCAGTCAGTACTTTAAAACTGCACAAGCTGTAACTCTTCAAGGGAAACTGTTCGGGGCTCCCGAAGAGGAAAAAAGAAGAGCAACAAAACTTAAACACCTAAGTTAAAAAGTTACTGGAACTGGTGATAATATTATGAAAACTACATATAGTCCATCTAAACATAAATCTAAACTGACACACACACTACAAGGCCTTCATTAGAACAGCCGAGAAGAGCAACGCAATTAAACATCACCACTGCAAATGTGAGTTTGGGTTCCCTTTTAATATTCATGCTCTTATCGTCTTTTCTTGAACAAGAGATCAACGAAGACACACCTCTACTCTGATTCTCAGTTAATAATCAAATCCCAATAAAACTTTTCTACTCTCGGTGTTGCACAATTAGAAACATCGACTTTCTAACTTTTTAAATAAGGCTAAAACTTAGTAAATACTTCTAAGGTTACACTTTAATACCCAGGCCACTTTTTGATCTAAAAGAAGATCGCAAAATATGCATTTCCCGGTGACTTACCTGGACATTTTTGTCCTTTTAGTCGTTTCCTGTGAGGAGACAAAACAGTTTACGCTCCGCCGCCGGGAGCGCGGAGACGGCACCGACATCTCCAGACCTGGCACGTGAACGCGCAGGAAAGCAGCTCATTAGGCGCAGCGCTGAAGCTGTCGGTGAGTGACTGATGATCAAACTTTTCCCAGCGCGCGCCGGACAACGTAGCGTTTAGTCTCGCGCGCATGCGGAAGGCTTGAACCGTGTGTGCGTGCGGCGCGCTCTTGCTTGGCTGTTAAGCTGCTTTTGGAAATATCTACAGCGAGTGTGACACACACGGCTGTTCAGCTAACACTGGGTGGCGTACCCTCACTGCTAATCTAACACCTGTGCGAAGGTGACTCGCCACACCCGTCAGGTCCCGTGCTGAAGTTACTGCAGTATCTGAAGCTAAGTAGCAAACTAGGGCTACTAGTGATGCTGTTACCAATACACCTGTAAAGGTAATTAATTACATTTATGTAAGAACTTGTTGCGCGTTTTTCTTTATATATGTATCTGCATATATACTCATAGGCAGGAAAATATTTGTACTTCATCGCATTTAGTATATTCAGTTACAATGTTGATATCACGCAGCTGCGGCATTTTGTCTCGAAACAACTGTTATCTGCACATTTCGACTTTTTTCTTGAAATTTCGACTTTATTTTCAAAGAGGATCACTATCCCCCCCCTCTATGTGGTCCTAATACTCTTTAATACCAAAGTGCTATTAGTTGAAAACATGTGTCAGCATATTTTCTAATCGTTTTTTATTTGATTTCATTTTTTCATTTAGTTCATTTTTAATTAGTTTACAGAATTTATTTTCTTGTTTCAGTTTAGTTGTTTTATTGTTTCCAAATGTTTAGGTTTTTAAAAAAAATTAGTTTTTAATTATTATTGTATGAAGGGCACATATTAGTAACAAGATTTGGGAAAATCAGTACAAGTATTACAATAAAACAAAATGATTTGAAAACCATTACCTCAGGCTTGTAGACAGTCTCTAAAAATATCCGTCAATTCCTCGTCAGACAAGTGGTAACACAATTATTTACCAAAGTAATGGATACTAAAACTAAGGATATTTTTTCTTTTCTTTTTTTTTTTTTTAATTTTAGCTTAGTTAGTTTTCCAAGTTCACAAATTGCTTCAGTTTAATACTTTCCCAAAAACCCATCAGAAATGGTCTCAGTGGAAGAGTGGCCGTCAGGAAGCTATTCTAAAGGAAAGGAAACGGGGAGACAAGCATGAGTTATGCAGAATTCACTGGAATGAATTGGAATGAAAATCCGTGTCAGCAGGTTTCACAGAGTGCTGAATCCAATTTTGAATTTTATTCATGTCATTATCATTGTATAAGTTGGAAGTCAGAAGAGTGGTACAAAAATGAGTGTCTGTAAAGACGGTGGAGGCGCTGTCAGTGCTCTTTGAGATCCTGTCAAAAATTATAGAATTATGAATGCAGGAAACTACAGTCAGTTTTCGATCCATCATGCAATACTATCTGGAAAGCATCTGATTGGCCACAGCTCCATTCTTCAGCAGTAATGACTGTAAACCAACAGACTCATACCTGGATTTAAAAAAAGAAACATAAAATGGAACACTGTTAGTGGTGGATTGGTCTCCTCAGAGCCCAGACCTCAACATTATTGAAGCAACTGTAGGATCATCTTGACAGAGAATGGAACAAAAAGCAGTCAACATCCAAAGAACACCTTTGAATGTACTTCAAAAAGCCTGGAGAACTATTCCTGAAGACTGCTTGAAGAAATGGCAAGAAAATCTGCCAAGAGAGTTCAGGCTGGTTTGAAGAACAAAATTGGTCATATCAAATCAAAGTGCTGTTGTTTTATACACTGTATTTCCATGTATTTTTTGACGTTTCAGTAAATTGCTGAAAGCAAAATATAAAGAAATGCCGGGTGGCTCAAGACGTATGAACAGTATGGTATAAAATCTAAATTTATTAGAAATATAGAAAACAAACTGAGGAAATAAAATAAAAGTAAAGATGAGATAAGACTTGAAAGCAGCAATAATTCAATTGTCCCCATATTTAAATAGCCACATGAAACTGGTGATGCATCTTTGGGCTACATAAATGAATATATTCATATCTTTATAGTGCAGATCAATACAAATACCTATCAGACAGTAATGTATTTAAAATTAAAAAAGGCCAAGGATCATACCTCACAGTCTGCCTATATAACAGCCTACACTTTGTAAAATGGACTATTCTCCATAATTAAAGTGTTTAAACTGTTGCCGTGCTTCAAGTCTTTATATTTTTACACTAAACACTTCTACACAGTGGGCTTTTATTTGGGTTAAGAAGGATCAGCGCTTCCGTTTTTGGTTTTAAATGTGCTCTGTAAATAAGTCTCTAGCTTCGCTCACCACTGTATCTGCATTTTAGACCCTTGCTGTGTTTTTCATGGCCAGAGAAGCATAGGTGGAACTAATAGCATTAATTAGCAGCGGCTTCATTCCAGTCAGTCGTCTGGAAAAGCAAACATGTGCCATAGTGTGGCTCTGTTTAACAAACAGCAGACTAAAGCCATAATTAATGTAACCACAGGAGTTTTGTGAAAGCTTTTTGCCGTCACGTGTCAAAATGCTGTCCGTTTTGCTTTGTTCTGTTTTGTCTGACTTTTGGTCAGTTACACATTTCACTGTTAAAATCATCATAAAATGTAAGGATTATCTTTCTTTTTAAATATCTAATTACAACTAGTTTTGAATATTGAGTCATTGGTGTGCTTTCTCCTTATCGAGTTGAATAAATACATTTCCTTTATTAGTGACCCGTGAAACAGCACAATCTCAATTTTAGCCGGAAGGCTGTTTTTAAAGAATGGCATTTAAAACTTTTAAGACAACGTGGATCTTAAGTCTTTAAAGTTTTCAAGAATCCACAATACCCTGATAAATGACAAATCCCCTGATGATATGATCTACCTGCAACTTTTGCAGCTCTTTCAGTCCATACTAAAGTTGTAGAGGGCCATTTCTCATCCCAGACTTGGAGAATAATTAATAGAGTACAACCTTAAGAGGCATGGCCCCTGTGCAAAGTAGTAACATGTGTTTTTTGTCATTCAATCCAACACTGGTACTCCAGTCTGGTGGTGTTTCTCATATATTAATGTCTTACATCCACTGTGTGTTCTACTTTATCGGAGCTGATCCATACCACTGGCAGAGATGATTATTCTGAATTTGGAAATTAACATTAAACGCAGAGTACCTCAGCATAGAGCCAGTAAAAGCTGCTTTATGTTTGAGCAATCCTGTCAGTCACTGCCGTGCATCATTAGGTGTTTGTGCTGCATCCTGGTATAGCTGCATCTTTGAAGTTTATCCCTGCACAGTAGTGAATTCACTGACTGGCAAGAGAGAACTAGGCCAGCTTTTGGCTAAAATAAGTCTTTTTATTTCTGGACTCTGAGCCGCAGTATCGATTTTCTTAGTTTCACTAAAATATTTTTCATCTCAAAGCCACAACCACAAAAAGTCGTTCGGTATGTGCTGCTCATTCATCTACCTTGCCTGAGGGCAGCTGCTTATCTTTTCTCTCATGGAAGTAGAGTACTCCAACTTATGTCTGTTAAAGCAAACTTTACTCTTACCTTTGCAATACTTTATGATCATTATCAGCCAGCTTTGAAGTGGCACCATGTGTAAGGTTACATTTAGCTACATTTAAGCGTTTTTCTCTCTCTTGTGGACATATTGTGAGGCTAAGGTTCTGTCTAGTAAGACATTCACTGATTTTTCTAAAGCTACCTCTCAAATCTCGAATCTTAAACAGCAATTACTGTGCTATCAAAATGTGGGAAGGTTTGCCTGCTGTTCATAATCAGAACCAATGGACTGTATCGTAACAGAAATCTCCATCTGCTATGTTTTTTTCCTGAACTTGTAACAAACTGGTGCACCAGCTGTAGAGTCCTGCTGCCGGCAGGAGGTTGTAAAAAATGCACAGTTCTCTTGCTACTCTTTTGTTTTTTTTCTCCTCACTATCACCTTAGAACATGAGCCGATTCCTGACGATAATGAAACACCGTGTTAGTCTTTCTGGTATTGTCCTTGAACCCTTAACATAAATGTAAAGGAAGGGTAGTAGCTGGCGATTATCCACCTTCAGCTGATTGATATGGAAGGAGGAGGTGCTTTCTTTTGCAGCCCCTGTGCCCTTTCATGACTCCTGTGGCCCTGTGCAGCTCTGCGGGCAGGGGATGGAGGGTCATTAAGGGTTCACATGTGGAGAGGAGGGCGTCTGTCTTCTGTAATGGATGGTTGAGGGTGGTCTTAGCGAATCTGTGGATCTAGAGCAGCGCTCTGGTGATTTTTATTTTATCCTCGCTGTCTCCTAATCGGAAACGGTGGGAAACATTTTTCACCATCAGTGGTTGACAACAGTCTTTGTGTTTGATGCCTGCTGCTGAAAGAGCGGCTATACAAATATGTTTCCATCAGCCTCCCTTGCAGGTGCGGTTGTTTAAGCAGAAAATCTATTTTGTCAATTTTTTGCAGGGTTATTTTATATTATTTTATTCAAATTAAATTCAGTGCTTTCATAAACGGGTATATAAAATTTGTTTTCATCCTTTAGATTTAATCAAATGCTCTCTCTATATACGTTTTCAAACCTAATACTTTTCCTTATGTTTTCCCATATGAATTGAGCCGTTGCTTTCAAACATGCTCGGGCCAGAAAATGAGAATGTGTTTGCTTGGAAATAAAGATGAAAAAAATGTTACAAGCACCTCCAATATAATGGAAAATGTTATTGTCCAGTCTACGCCCTATTGTATTCTCTATGCCTGTCTTGTGTGTTTAGCGGGGGTGGTATTGCTTCCCAGATTTAAGGAAAAAAAGTTTTGTTTTCTCTGTTTTATCAGCACTCTGAAGCTGGGAGGAAAGCATGACAGCACCATCTGTATCAGAAATGCAGGGGAAGCAGAAATACAACAAGAGAGGCTTTACTTCAAAACATGTTGTGCAAAAGGTAAGAGTAAAGTGCAAACCCAAATATCCCAGTGACCTGAAGTGGTTTGAGAATGCTCGTTACATGAGATGAGTTTATGTATTTTAAGAATCATTACACATTAGACATGTTGGCCAAAAAAAAAAAGAAGTCCTTAACAACTCCACTTCTATCATCAATACAAAGAGGATTGAATGTATTTGCAGCTTGCAGTTTTTATTTTAAGTTACAAGATTTGTGGATCTTTCAGTTGAATGAGATGGTCTATTGATTTCAGCCAGTAGTCACAAATTCTGTGTAGTGCCTATAACAATTTAGTGAATTACTTGCATGGGAAAAATGTGGAGCCTGTACACCTTGAAGGGGCTTGTGTCAGGGCACTTTTTTCAGCCACTTGGGGGCAGTGAAAACAAGTTGGGAGCACACACTGAACACTCCGGTGGAGTTTGTGCTTGTTCAGCCAAACGGGGTCGTTGAATAATGTAGCTGTACTGTGATTGGTCTAGACATATGTGTACATTAATTTTCTGAACATATAAATGCCATTTAAAAAGAAGCAAAAACAGCCCAAACAGTGAAATGCATTCCAACAAAAACAAGCAAGTCAGTCCAGTCTTTAATGAGCTTATATACAATGGAGAAATCTTTGCTTCATGCACTATACAGTGAAGCAGAGACTGAAACAGGATTACAAGGAAATTAAGGACCACTGCGAGAAGATTATCAGTGCTTACAGACTGTTACATTACATCAGAGTCATTATTGGTGTTGAAAATAAAAACTGTAAAAATATAAAGGCTTGGATGGTATCTAATTCCCCAGGGACTTGAACAGGTGTTACCAGAACTGTTTGTTCTCCTAAGCTACTTTCAAACCAAAGCCAGACTCAATGTTTTCCTTTAGAGAAGGTACATTTGGTGTCATTCATACAGAAGTTGCTGTTGCAGGTAGTTCAGGCCTCTATGTTCCTCAATTCCAGCTGTGACTCAGATGGTAGAGTGGGTAATCTATCAATTGGAAGGTCAGTTGATCAATCCCCCAGCTCTTCCAGTCTGTATAGTGAAGTCTCCAGTCTGCATGTTGAAGTACTGAACCCGTAGTCTCCCCCTGAATGCAACTTTACATTTTGATGCATTTGTATGTGCACATTAGAAAAATATAGATAAAAGCTCTGGGTAAATGAGATTTGTAGTAGAAAGTGCTCAACTTGAATAGAAAGCAAGCTTTAGTTACCTCGTCATAACAATTTATTATAAAGAATAAGTTTGATCTAGAGGTCCCTGGTGCCAGGGCACTATATCTGTTATTAATGGTGGAAGGCTTTGTTATATGGACAACAAGAATAGAATAAAGGTTTATCTTTATTTGCTGTGTTTTCTTCCTGAACTGAACAGAATGTTTCAGCTCATCATGTAAACTATGGCTGGGCGTGACTGAATCACTGGAATCGATATATCGAGTATTTCCACACAGAGCTACCATATGATATACTTTGCCTTTAATGACCCTATTTTATAAGACCTGTGCTGCTTATAAAATTCTTTTAGCTTTTCAAATGTTTAAAAAGATAATTTTCTGTGACGAGGAACTTAAAAAGAGAGAGACCCAAAGAAAAACTTTTTTCTTGAATGTTCCCAGCTTTACTCCAGGGATCTACAGCCCCTGCTGCTCCAAAGGCTTACATGGCTTTCTGATTTATAAGCAGCTGGAATTACAGGAAGTTCTCTGCAACTGAGAACAACACAATAGAGCTTGGTAGGGTGGGCTTAGATAAAGGGTGCAGGAATCGGTGGAGGATAGGACATAGAATTGTCCTTGAGAATCACAGAATGGAGCAGGCTTTTAGCCAAACGGCTCTGCTTCTTTATTGTGCTCATCCTAGTCTCCTCAGTAGTGCAGAAATCCCTTTTTTGGCAGGCAAACAGAGAAAAAAGGCAAGTGTTTTGTTGCTTTTGCTGCAGATTAAAGGGTGATTTTAGGGTACTGCATGATTCTAGTATTTGTAGATTACATGTATTCGAAATACCATCATATGACCTTAAATACTAAAAATGTGAATTGCCATCTTGTAAATACCACCAGAATAAAGGTTCTTTTTTAGGAGATTCATTTGAACAAACTGGCTCAGGAATAAACGAGGCCTGGCATATTTGAGAGAGGGTCATTTCTATAAAGGCTTCTATTGATATAAGGTTTCACAAACATTGAAAATTCTGTCCATGTGTAATGATGATTTGTCTAACAACACCACAGTAATTGTGCAATAAGTCCCTCAAGCAAATTTTGGTTCAATAAAATGTGCCTTCAATGTTACCAGGTTGCCTTTTGTCATATTTAGTCTTTATTGATTAGAGAGACCAGATTCTACATTGGTGTGCTTAACAGCTTTTAGGGTGTACTTTTACAAACGTGAAAATGAAAATATCCTCACAGTAGAAATGATTGGATTGGTGTGTGTGTGTGTGTGCGTGCATGTGTGTCTCAGCTACTGAATCTGTGCACAGGGCAGTTAATATAAGAATGGTGTCTTCCCTACATTTAAAAGGGGAAAATGGGTTTGAAGCATCCTAAATTTTAGCAAGGCACAGGAAAGCCAGGAGTGTGAGAGGTGGCACTTATAGTAGAAAACTGTTTACATATCTAATGCATAATGCAAAAAAAATCTGTAATGCACCATGGTACTATTTAACTCTTAACTCTGTCTTCTGCACTGTGTAAATGATAGTTGTTTTATTTTGTATTTTTTTTTAAACGGGATAGAGCCAACAAGCTGACGATTCTTCAGACATTTTGGTCCATATTGACATGATAGCATCACATAGTTGCTGCATATTTGTTGGCTGCATATCCATGATGTAAATGCCATTCCCCCACATCAAAAAGGTGCTCTACCAGATTGTGATCTGGTGACTGTGTACAGTGGCGTGCAGTGAACTCACTGTCATGTCCAGGAAACCAGTTTTAGATGATTTGAGCCTTGTGACATGTTTTGTCCTGTTGGAAGAAGCTATCAGAAGATGTAGCTCAGGAGGCAGAGCAGGTCATCTACTGATTGGAAGGTTATTGGTTCGATCCCTGGGTCCTCCAGTCTGCATGCCAAGTATCCTTGGACAAGATACTAACCCCAAATTTCTCTCCGACGTGTCCAATGTGTATGAATGGTAGTTAGGAATCACTAAGAAACTTGGAAGACAGTGCTTGTGTGACTGGGTCACTGTGGCTTTGAGTATTCCGGGAGAGTAGAAAAGTGCTATATAAGAAGCAGACCAGTTATCAAACTGGTGGACATGGTCAGGAACAATACTCGGGTTAACTGTGGCATTTAAACAATGCTTAGCTGATAAAAGTGACACCTCACATGGGCTTCTGCTTGCATAACCCATCTTCAGGGTTTTTATTGTGCATTCGGTGGATTTTTTTGACCATTATCTGTAAACGCCAGAGATGTTTGTGCAGGAAAATCCCAGCAGATCAATAGTTTCTAAAATGCTCAAACCAGTCCGTCTGACACCAGTGATCATGGCTTTTCTGCTTTCTCATCTTTCCTACTAGTTAAACAGGTGCACCTAATAAAGTAAATTGTAAATACTTGTTGCCATCATAAATGACATCTATCTTAATAGTTTGATGCCAGTGTGATATGTGTGTAGATGATCATTTTAGAGTGAAACCAGCTATTTTCTTTATTGCGCTGCTGCTCTCTGAGCCTACTGTCTCTTTGTTTCTCTTTAGGCTGAGCTAAAATCTACTTTAAAAAGGAGAATTCAGTTTTTTATTGTATATTTGTGCAATAATATTAAAGGCACTGAGTCACATTAAATGTGAGAGAATACAATAATAGACAATTTATCGTCTCACAGAAGGAAAGCACAGGTGTATTAATTATGATCATTTTGTGTTTAGTGGAGGTTCTGATTTTGTGCACTCTGCAGGTTTTCTGCTCGTGTATTACAAACCGGTGACCCACCAGACCTAAATTGACCCCTTGCTTTGTCTGAGGACCAAAATGATTAGTGATTGGCATTTTGGCATTAGTATTTTATTTTATATTATATTTTTAGAAAAATGTTTAGTTTAGTTATCTATTTGTTTTCTGCATTTACCCATTTCAAACATAAAAACAACTTGAAAGACTTGTATGAAGAAATAAAAGAGGAAAGAAAAGGCAAGTCCACTAATTAACATGGGCCTGTGCCACCACACAATCAGCATTATAATAGATGGATAGCACTACATGAAACGTGTATATTGAATTAATATTACATTTTAGTTATGAAAATTGACCCAAAAATCCTTTTTGAAGACAATTTAATGATTGATGTCATCAGTCACGTGTCTACTTTAAATGCACACTGTATATAAGTTTTAAAAGATGCATAGAGAAACTCTGGTGCCATGTTTAAATCCACGTTACAGTAGTAGAACTACTCATTTCAGATGGTTAATGCGGTCCTGCCTCTGCAGACATTCAGTTTTTACGCTCTGTTCACTCATCTGAGGCGAAGCCTGCTGTAATTCGACGTAACCAGCAGAAAATTCACTTCACATTTGTAAAGCTTACATACAACGTAAGTCATTTATCAGAGGAGGTTTCTTTAGATCTTCACCCGACTGTGGTCTTTGTGAGTTTCTTTTTTCTTAATAAACATTATCATGGGGAATGCAGTTTCTGTGAGCCAGAGGCAAAAGGCTGAAAAGTAATTTTGAAATCTGAGTCGAGATCAAGTCACTGCAGACTTGGAATATCTCAAATATGTTTTTTATTAAAGGCAGGGAAATTATAGGACAAGGGCGTCCTGGAAATTGTTCTTTGTTCAGCGTCGTATAGAGCCTCCAGCTTTTTGAACTGTCCACGTGCTTTGACCCTGTCCTTTGTTCCTCCTGACTTCACATGGGATTTCCAGCTTGCAGGCAGAACTGTGTGTTTTTATTAAGACATCTGTCTACTGTGTTCCCCAATTAGCCCGTTATTTCTGTGAGCTCTGTGTACATTTTCCATATTTCCAATTCCTCAGCAGTTT